CATGTTTATTATTTTGAAAGAGAGAATGAGCATGAGTGGGGGAGGGGCAGAAAGAGAGGGAGAGAGAGGATCCCAAGCAGGCTCTGGCTGAAAGCAGAGACACAGGCTCTGGCTGAAAGCTCAGTCTCAAGAACTGTGAGATCATGACCTCAGTTGAAATCGAGAGTTGGACGCTTAACTGACTAAGCCACCAGGCACCCCTATTTCCTGTCTCTTAATGCCTGAAACTCAGAAGTTTTCTTTTCCTTCTTACTTTAGACCCATCCAAATGTGGATAAAAAACTTTTCACTGCAGAATCTCTAATTGGCTTGAAGAATCCAGAGAAGTCGTTCCCAGTCAACAGTGACGTAGGGGTACTAAAGTGGAGGCTACAAACCACAGAAGAATCTTTTATTCCACTGACAAGTAAGTGCTTCTGGTCAGTCCCACTAAACTAGTCCACACTGAGAACCACAAATAGCCCTGGCTTGTACACTCTACATTCATTGCCACAGCAGAATGCTTTTTTGACAAAATGACCATCTTTCAAAATGGACTTAGTGCTGGGTTTTGTGTATGTTAATCATGAGCTTTCATTTTTAATAGCTTTACTTTTGAAACTGTTATTTATAATAGTTTATGTTAGGATATTTAAGGCCTGCAGCTGTCAGTTTTGATTTGCCATCTTAACTTTTCTCCACTCTCCTTTTAGTATTTGAGTATTCCTGCTTTGCTTTTCTTCTCAGTTAATTGCTGGCCCTCAGAGAGTGGAAATGGCTGTGATGTCAACATAGAATATGAGCTGCAAGAAGATCATTTAGAACTGAATGATGTGATTATCACCATCCCACTCCCGTAAGTGGTGTCCCTGACATAATCAGTTTTTTCTGTGCTGGGCTTCTAGAACTAACCTTTCGGAACTTGTTTTGGAGGCAGCACTCAGTTGTCTATCCATCATAAAAATCTGCTTCCTAAAAAGATCAGTTGTAAAAGAAACCAGATACAAATCGATACTATACGGTTCCACTTATCGGACATTGTGAAAATGTGTCATACTCCTAGAACAGAAGTCAGGAGATGGAGAGGAAGGCAGTTGACTAACAGGGCACAAGAGAACTTTTGAGGATGATGGAAATGTTCTCTGACTTGATTGTGATAGTGCTTACAAGATTACATAGTCAAAGTGCACGGAGCTGTACACGTTAAAAGGAGTGGATTTACGGTTTTAAAACCAACTCAAACAGCCAGTTGTAGTTCTAGAGCTGTGTTTTCAGATGTTGGGCCTGTTTGTTCCTGTAGTAATGAAGACTTCCAGAAGGAGGAGCCAGTTCCTTGTCAAAAACCATTCTCAGTTTTGTTTGCTACTCAAAGAAATTAAATCTGACTGAATCTTCACTTTGCTCTCTAAACTTTCAGCTAAAGATGAGAGTACAGGGGTGCCTGGGTGGCGCAGTCGGTTAGATCGACCAGCCAGATCCCACGATCTCACTGATCCATGAGGTTGAGGAGCCAGCCTTTGGCGATGAGACTCTGGAGGCTGGGATGGCTTCCTGGAGCCTGTTTCCAGGTCTGTGTCCTCCTCCCTCTCTCTCTGCCCTCCCTACATGCTCTGTCTCTCTGTCCCAAAAATAAATAAAAACGTTGAAAAAAAAAATTTAAAGATGAGAGTACATTTTTTCTTTCTTTCTTCCTTCCTTTTTTTTTTTTAACGTTTATTTACTTTTGAGAGAGAGAAGACAAACATGGTAGTGAAGAGATGGAAGTTACAGAATCTGAAGGAGGCTTCAGGCTCTGAGCTGTCAGCACACAGAGCGACAGCAGGACAATCTCCAGCAACAAACTGGCCAATCATGACCTGAGCTGAAGTCGGACGCTTAACCGACTGAGCCACTCAGGTGCCCTGAGAGTACATTTTCAAGGGAACTATTCTTGCTGGAATACATATCTACATTAGTTTTAGTGAATTTCCTAACAGTTTTATTGTGGTTTAGTTGACCTACCACAAACTACACATATTTAAATTGTACAATTTGATAAGTTTTGACACATAGACATCTGTGAAACCATCACCACAATAAAGATAATGATAATATCCATCACCCCTAGAAAATCAGTTCCAATAAGTTTTTGTTCTGTGCCTACTTTCCAGGATCATCTAGAAATATTCTCTCCCTCAAGTTAATCTCACTAGCACTCATTTCCATTGAGTGTGTGCTATTATATCACCAATGAATTCCTAGCCCCTCTCCTCTTCCTCTCAGTACCTACCTCCCGTGATTAAGTATTGGGTGTCATTATACCTAATAAGCATATTCTTAATGTATTTTTATTGTTATATTGTTATTGCAGAGAAAATGGTACTAATTTAATTTGTAGTTTTGTTTCCTTTTTGATGTCCTTCAGACATTTATGTGGCCAGGTCAGGTTTTTAATCATTCTTTTTAAATGGAAGGATTTAAAAAAAAATTTTTTTTTAATATTTATTTATGAGAGAGAGGCAGAGCACAAGTGGTAGAGGGACAGAGAGAGAGGGAGACACAGAATCTGAAGCAGGCTCCAGGCTCTGAGCTGTCAGCCCAAACCTGATGCAGGGCTCAAACCTAAGAACTGTGAGATCATGACCTGAGCCAAAGTTGGACACTCAACTGATTCAGCTATCCAGGCGCCCCTGGTTTTTAGTCATTCTTATTTTTCCATTAAAAAAAATATGCTTGGGGCACCTGAGTGGCTCAGTAGGTTAAGTGTCCAACTCTTGACTTTGGCTCAGGTCATGACCTCTCAGTTCATGGGATCGAGCCCTGAATGGGGCTCTGTGCTAACAATGTGGAAACTGCTTGGGATTCTCTGTCTCCCTGTCTCTCTGCCCTTCCCCCACTCCTTCTCATCTTCTCTCTCTCAAACATTTTTTTAAAAATTTTAAAAATAAAAAGTATGCTTTATAACCAGTCTCTTCTTTATTGGAGTAACTATCTTATTCTTCACAGCATGGTTATTCTTTTAGAACAATAGATGGCTACCTTGAACCATTGTAGGGGTTGGGCGTTGGTGACAGGTGTGGGTTTTGTTTTGTCAAGATTTGTTTTACTACGCTATTTTTAGGATGCCACAATTTTTAGGCCTCTCCATCTACCCTATAATTGTGGTTATGGTGGTTTCCTGTGTCTTAGTTCAGTTTTGCAGTAGTCTCCAGAAAAGACCCTTACACAACATTTCACTCTGTTGTCTAGAACTGATTCGATTTTAGAGATCGGAATCGGAATCGGAACAAGAGCAGAGGAAGAAACATATATACAACTGGGACCATAAAATGGATAGGGAAGAGCTGATCATGTTGTATCGCCCTTAAAATGTTTGTCTTCCTTATTTACTGTGTCCCTAATACAAGCATTTAATGTCATTGGCGAATTAAAAGATGGTAAATTTAGAATGTGTAGGAGGGGTGACACTGCCGATCAGCCACATTTGGGGGTACAGAGTACATCCTAACTAGCCCTGGTTCTCTTGCAGACTAAAGAACAGCTGTGTGTCTTTTCTCCCGTCACGTTCACATTCTGGGCAGAGGAAATTGTGTTTTCACTTATCAAATAAAAGTCCGCTTACTGGATTGTAAATCAGACCCATTGGCGTCAAGTACAAGTTTTGAAATGTTCTAAGGTCTTTTTTTTTTTTTTTTTTTT